GAGGAGGGACCAGACTCTCAGCTGCCAGCCCCCACCTCCTGAATGCCTCCTGGACTACAAGTGACAGGGCCCAAGGACATCGCCGGCTACCCAGCTGACCATTTCATGGCTAAGCCTGGGATAACCCTGGATGTCGCAGGTAAGAATATTAATTTTCTGATTGCTATGGGAGCCACTTACTCTGTACTCACCCAGCATTCTGTACCCACCTTCCCTTCCTCACAAAATATAATAGGAATGGCCTGAACAAAATCAAAGGTCACTAAATCTGTTTACCACCGCCCAAGAAAAAAACATGTATCTACTCCTTCAACCTACACATAGGACTAACACTTTTTGTATCTAAGTATTTTATGTAAGTTTGCTTCTTACAGACAACAGTCTCCCACAAACTCCGCTTTACATGACTGGTGCTCCTGAACACTTGGAATTGTCCTTATCCTGGAGCCTGAAAAGGGTCTGACACCATCTTTCTAATGCCACTCTACCTCAAAATTGGAAGATATAAAACCTTGGAGTCATCATACTTGGGTAAAATCTTAACATTTAAAAAGGTGGACTGTGGTCCTCACTCTAACTTAACTAGCAGTTTTCACTGGCTTGCTGCTCTGCACACACACAAGCCAGCCCTCCCTGTCGAGTCCCTGGCTATCTGCCTCACTCCAGCACCTCAGGGTTCCCCTGATGGGTGTTGCCCTAACAAGGGACTCATGAGATTTAAAACAGCTCCTCTGCTAGGAGCAAATATCCCACTGACATTCTTTCTAGTCTAACATCACTCTAAAATGGGTTGTTTCTCTGGTAAAATTTATTCCCATGTCACAGCCCCAAAACTTGCTATTTTACTGTTCATCTTGTTAGTAAACCTGACACTCAATGCCTGGCCTCAAATGACTACATGTTACCGAGTGTCCTTAGCCGCTGCTATACTTCTCATTCTCCTCTTTAAACCTTAACACACACAATCTCCTCATCAAACTTGTTTCTTCTAACCTAGGGGGAGCTCTTCAAGTTTAAACTCCTCCAAGCAAAAACAGCTGATCCATAGAAGAGGAACAGCCTATCCAGATGCCCTACCCCTTGGACTCCAGATGCCCCACCCCTTGCCTCCTTCCAGAACCAGCAACAATAGGTAGCTCAGGGACTAGTGTTAGGGAGACCACATCCCAGGCCCTTATAGGTAGGACCAGCTCTACGTCCTAGTCCACCTAGAAGCAGCTACAGAAGAAAATGGACCTCCTCCCTTCAACTCCCCAAAAGATTTTGGGCCAGATATGGTCAGGGGGGGAATGATAGAAGATCAGAATAGAAAGACTGGAAAGGAGGTGCCCCAAGACCAGAACCTGACTCACACAAGGAAGTGGGGGTCAAGGGAATAACATGACCATTAGCCCAGCTGTAGGGGTCATGACCCTTAGGCACCAGGGCCTTATCACAAGGCAGGAGACCCAAGCAGGATCAGATGCTCCAGGGAGTGGAGCACAGACCTGAGGGGAAAGATATGGAGATTGGGCCCATCCTGGAATCTCTGGTCCCTTCCTGGTTTTGCCTAGTTATCCAAAGTCAGCAACAAACAGGCCATTCCACGGAGGAGTGAGTCCTCCCAAACAGAGGAGTTCTCCATCAGTGCAGTCTCTGCACAGGCTCGGGGCAGCACTCCCTCTGCCCACCTGAGACTATGCAGGTGCCTCTTTTCACCAACTCTCTCCCTCTGCAGGGCAGCAGCGTCCTGCCTGCCCATGACCTGTACCTGCCGGGACTTCTCTTCACTGACGTCCCGCAGCAGGGTAGCTCTCCTCAAGGCTGTCCCTTTCCCTAATAAACCTGTTATTTAAATATAACTAACGCCTCTGTCTCGTGGAGAAACTCGTCTGGGAAACTCGCCGTGTGTTGCTAAAAGGGGAGCTCTGGTGACACCTTTCCCAGAGTGAAACCAAAGACCCCGCACTAACTCAAAAAACCTCATCATTTAGCACCCAGTGTGGGGCTTTTCACATCATCTGGTGCCAGCATCAGTATCACCAACTGGTGCTTGTCTAGCGGCTGGGACTCAGTGCTGCCCCTGCTGCCTGGGATCCTGTCCTGGCAGGGAGACTAGGCCTGAAAACCTGCAATTTCGGTGTCATTACCTTACTGTTGTCGTTTTCTGAGTCTGGGTTTGGAGTGCGGGGGTCCTTAGGTTCACTGTGGGAAAGATTTCACCACAGCTCCTGTTTCAGTGACACCTTGCGAGTTCCCAGGCAAGTTTCTCCAGGAGACAGAGACATTAGTTCTATTTAAAGAACAGGTTTATTAGGGAAGGGATAAAACAGTAAAAGACACTTGCATAGACACAAGCAGGCAGGAAGAGCTGCCCCAGAACAAGAACGAGCCATTCAGTCCACAAGATCCAGCCTCTTCCTTTTCTGCCCCTCCCAGGAGGCGGACATGACGTAGCCTTTGGATTTCGGGAAAGTCAACGGAGCAACATGGTGGCGAAGCAGCGCTGCGAGTATGTGCTCCCCTAAACACAGTCAATAAGGAGAAAAAGCGGCAGGTCCCTGCGAGAACCGGGAGGCCGGCAAACGGCCCGGAGAGGAGAGTTGCAGGCACAGAGGCGGAGAGAGGCGAGCAGCAGACCCCGCGCCTCCCCCACCATTAACTCCAGCGCGCCCCGCCCCGCAGAAGGGGGGGAAACCAGAACCGCCGCGGGACCCGCAGGACGCGAGCAGAAGGGAGGCGCTTTCAGCGGCCACACCTGCGGCCAGGGGCGCTGTGGGGACCCGCCACGGCCGTGAGCCAAGGGCGCTGGGTCGTAACAGACTCGGCGCCCCCAGAGCAAGGCGGGGACCCCGCGGAGACCCGCCAACAGCCGAGGGCAGCCGGGAGCGCGGGAAGCACCGGCGGGGCGGCTGCCCAGGTCCCGCCCGCGCCCTGGGGCTGTGGGGAGACGCGGAGCCGGCGCTGGGGTGAGTCTCCGGAGCGGGGTTCACCCCTGGTGGACCCAACTCCTGGTCAGGGCGCACAGCCATTGTCACCTCCCCTCGGGTCTCTCGCCCACATCTGTGTCACCCAGTCCACGACCAAAAGACAAGCGCAGTTTCTTCACGTGTCTCTCAGCTCCACGTGCCTCCCCCAGGTCTTCTGGCTCCATCCTGCTTCCTTCCTTCCTCAGTCTCCTCTGAAGCTTCTTCTCTCCCTGCTCAGCTCCACCCTCCCTTGGGTGGGGCAGGAAATCTGGAACCTTCCTCTTTCCTGGGGACCACCCTGTTACACTGGATAACTCAAACAGAAACACACATTTTTTTTTTTTTATTTTATAGAGGCATGTTTATTTATTTGTTTATTTGTTTGTTTGTTTTGTTTATACATGCACTGGGTACAGTCAGAAGTGCGGGAGGGTGAGAGAATTCACCAGAGCCAGAGCGGGGAGCAGAGCAGGCAGAAGGACCGAAAGTACATGCTGAGGGAGCAGCGGGCGGCAGGAGAGGTCTGCGCGCCATGTGGGACCCTCCTCCGGTGGCCGGGGAGCAGCCGGGGATCGAACCGTCGCCGCAGAGGCCGTGGGCAGGTTCGCAACCCAGCGCTCAACCGCTGCGCCACCGGGGAGGCCCGAAACACACATTTTAATTGATTTAATTATTTTAGGTGAGATGACATTAAATTTTAGCTTTCTTAAAATAACAAGCAAAAATTAAACCTAGGGCCTTCCCTGTCGCGCAGCAGTTGAGCGCTGGGTTGCGAAGCTGCCCGCAGCCTCTGCAGTGCAGGTTCGATCCCCAGCTGCTCCCCGGCCACCAGAGGAGGGTCCCGCATTGCCGGGGACCAGCCTCCGACAAAACGTCTTGTCAGGGGTTCCTGAAGGATGAGACGGCCTAGGCGAAAACGAAAGAACTGAAAACTTAAGGGCTGAGGGGAAGGGAATGAGGAGACACCGACACTTGGTTGAGGTGTTAGTATCTTCTGCCGAGAGACTCAGCAGGTCTTTATTTATATTATTAGTATAATAATAAGGAAATACATTATCAAGTGTAAAGCATAAACAATTAGTATATTATGTTTTCCATAGACTACTGGCCCCTACAGGTCTCAGCTAGACGACAGCTTTCAAGGTTAACAGATAATAAACCAAACCTAACATTAAAGCTACTTATTTTTATTTAGACAATTATTTAAAACAGTGAATAACCGCCAGTGCATCCCTATCAGCTAAAGCCTAAGCATCAAAGGACTATTCTATTCACATGACCTTCAGCCGGAGACCAGCTGCAGTTCAGCTATCAGAACTTTTTCTACCTAGAAATTCCTTAACTCAAATAGCTTTATATTAAAAACTTTCCCAAGAAACTTCAAGAGAAAACAAAATAGAAGGACCTACTATGATTATTGTATTGTAATGCTTGTCAGGCATGCTCAATAAGTTGTCTTCCATTGTCAAGTAGGCCAAATTGTTTAATAATTAGTTTCTAATTTCCATGCCGTTTATTTGCAATATACTGATGCATATAATATAGTGTCTAATGTACTTTTTTGGGAAATTTTTTTTTATTTATGACCAAGAACAAAAAGTGAAGGAATGTTAGATCTTCAACCTCACGGTGTGAGGCACAAGGAATCTTCAGCTCCACGGTGTGAGGCCCTTTGGCTTCGGCCCTGGTTGAGGCCCTTTGGGCTTCGCTGCTTGCCAGTGTCTTATCTGGCTGGGGCATCAAGGCCTCC